AATACAGACTTCATCAGTCAGTCCCTTCAACTCTACTGCACATTCCTATGTGCGTTTGTGAACATCAAAGTGCATATATAGAACAGCCTTCTGTAGGCATCACATGCCGTCGCGTCGCCAGCTACCTCCTGCAAGAAACTTTCCGTGCAGCGTCCGTTTTTGTCAGACAGTTTCAGCGTCTGTGTATAAGCACACACCAAAGTACTTAAACAGTTTTCCAAACTCTTAATGGATGCGCTTGCATTTGCGCATGTACTCTTTAAGCCCCCTTCATCACTCCGGCCCTGAAAATTGTAATTATAATGAATAATTAACGCCAGCTTAGAGAACGCCTCATTATTGCCACTTAGCTTCCTATAAACATGCACACCTCTTTACTTTCATCCCCTTTTCCTCTCTTCCTCACTGTACACATTTTAGACAGAGAAAGTCTCATTAAGATGCTGGTGAGCTTTTTTTTGCTGCTGAAACGTGACTGCGGCAGGAAGAATGCTAAAAAAGAGGAGTGAAATCCCGGAGAGAGGAGATGGCTGCCCCCTACAATAATTAGGGTTAGCGGCGGCCATCATTGTTAACATGCTGCTTTAATTTGAGAAGATGGTGCTTTCTCTGACCCCACTTTCTCACTCGCAATCTCGCTTTTGTGAGCCTCTCTTCTGTGATCCCTTGGTTCTCTCTCTCTCTCTCTCTCTTTCTCTCTCTCTCTCTCTCTCTCTCTCTCTCTCTCTCTCTCTCTCTCTCTCTCCCTCTCTCTTCCTCCTTCTATCAAGTGGTCCCCAAGCTCTCATATCCTTCTCTTTTCTTATTCTCTCTGCTTTCTCTCCATCATCTGCTCTCTTGTTGTCTATCTTTGGCATCACCTCCTCCATTTGCACCAGCTGAGGAGGGGGTCCCTCACTAAATCATCTTGGCTATTTCTGGATGGACGAGTTCTAGAAATAGTGCAAGGTCATCATAATAATTAACAGCCAACTGAAATGGACAAATGAAGCTTTCCATTTCTTTTTTTTCTTCCTCTGTCTCACCCTCTTTTCTTTATAGCTCATTCTGCTCCTGAACTTAAGGCTTCATGAATGAAATGAAACCTCATAATTGAGTGTTTTGAAATGACCCACATATGTACTCTACGGTAGTTTGACTCTAAGATATAATGACATACTTAATAATAAATATGAGTAACACTTTACACTATTTGTATAAGTTCATAGTTTAATAACATGAACAATGAACTATAGCAGCATTTAAACATCTTTGTTTATGTTAGTTCGTGGTAATAAAGTGCATAGTGCATTGATGTTGAATGATGATTAATAAATTCCATAAAAGTATTGCTCATTATTAACTCATGTCTGTAACATTCACTATCACTAAAGAAACTTTATATATTGTGACCTAAATGTGCATAGTGGAAATTAAAACTGTGTAAAAAAAATTTTTTTAATCTATTACTTTTTTATGTCTTTTTGTTTTTCTTTTTTTTTTTAAAAAAAAGAACTAATTAGTTTTGTTTTTAAGCACAACTTTTTTTAAGTTGTGAAACTGAGGGATCATCAGGGTGAAGGGAGAGGTATTGCTGGGTATTATCAGCATAGCAGTGGTAGGAAAATCCATGTTTCTGGATGACTGGTCCTAGAGATGTCATGTAGATGGAAAAGAGAAGTGGCCCAAGAACAGAGCCCTGAGGTACCCTAGTGTTTAGATGCTGTAGGTTGGACACCTCTCCCCTCCAAGACCCTGAATGACCTTTCAGAGAGGTAAGATCTGAACCATTGAATAACAGCGCCTGCAACGCCCAGTGACTCAAGCGTATATAGCAGGATCTGGTGGTTTACAGTGTCAAAAGCAGCTAATAAATCCAGCAAGATGAGGACTGATGATTTAGAGTCTGCTTTAGCCTTTAGTCTGAGATCCTCCACGACCGAGAGCAGGGCAGTTTCAGTTGAGTGGCCTTTCTTAAAGCCAGATTGCTTGTTGTCCATGAGGTTGTTTTGAATAAGAAAGTCCAGGACTTGATTGAACACAACTTTCTCTAGAATCTTAGCCATGAATGGAGGCAGGGATACCGGTCTGTAGTTTTCAAGTAGCGTTTGATCCAGGTTGGGTTTCTGTAGCAGTGAGGTTACCCTGGCCTGCTTAAATGAAGTTTGGAATAAACCAGAGATGTCTGCTCTCCGTTAAACAGAAATTGGGGGAAAAATTAAACAAAGGGGGTGGGGGGTTGTTGGGGCTAATAATTCTGACTTCAACTATGTATATATATGTATATATACAGTTAAAGTCAGAATTATTAGCCCCCCATCCCCCCTCTCCCCTTTTTAATTTTCCCCCCAATTTCTGTTTAACGGAGAGCAGATTTCTTCAACACATTTCTAAACATAATAGTTTTATTAACTCATTTCTAATAATTGATTTACTTTATCTTTGCCATGGTGAAAGTAAATAATATTTTACTAGAGCTTTTTTAAGACACTTCTATACAGCTTAAAGTGACATTTAAAGGCTTGATTTGGTTAATTAGGTTAACTAGGCAGGTTAGGGTAATTAGGTAAGTTATTGTATAATGATGGTATGTTCTGTAGACTATCAAAAAAAAATGACTAAAAAGGGCTTGTAATTATGTTCCTAAAATGCTTTAAAAAATTAAAACTGCTTTTATTCTAGCCAAAATAAAATGAATAAGAATTTCTCCAAAAGAAAAAAAAAATGTTATCAGACATATTGTGAAAAAAAAAACTAATTCAATATTTATACAGGGCTTTACATTAACACCCTCCAACCCTCCAAATGCGGGTAGATTTTAGCTCTTGCAGGTTAGACAGACACTTCCACTAGCCACTTTGGCTGGTTGGAAATCATTTTTATATTGTAGTTTTCTTAAAAGCCGGGTTCGACAATAAGCATGGCCCAATATTCATGCAAATGTGATATAAGAATCGAGAAGAAGCACAACTGACAAAAATAACTGTATTCGCGCAAGCAAAATAATGGTGAATACGGAATGAGAGCATGATCACACGCACTAACAGCTGATGTGATGGCAGCTCCCGTTTAGTTGCGCAAAGCAACTGTGCCTAGGATGTGCAACGGGTGCGATTGGTTCCCTTTGAAATATACTGGACAAAGAGCGATGATCGAGCACCCACAGTCCTGCTGCTTTCAAGAACTCAAGATAAACCCCCCCCCAAAAAACGCTTATTCTTTTGTAAGCAGCAGCGGTCACTGCTTTCATTTAAATCATTATTATACAGTAGAATAGATTATTAATAGGGCTAACATTAACCTTGTGCACGGTATGTTTCGCCTGCTTTCTTTTGCTTACAGTTATTTTTGTTAATATGGTTTGTTTATCAATTTTTTACAATAACAATGCTTTAATGGGAGATTACTTCCCGTTTATGAGTAGTTAACTGGTGATCTGGGACTTTTAGCCAGTACAGATTACTGTGCATATTTTAGAGACATGACAATAACTATTTTTTGAATGTAATGTGTTTTTTTTTTTTAAAAGGTTTTCACCTTTTTTGATAGGACAGTAGAGATGTACAGAGAGGAAATTGTGGGGTGCAGAGGTAGGGGAAGTATCGGCAAAGGACCTCAAGCCGGGAATTGAACTCGGGTTGCCACAAGCACCAAAGTGCTATATGTCGACGCAATAACTACTAAGCTATCGGCACTGACATAATGTTTTCTTTAAAAAAAAAAAAAAAAGTTTTGTTGAATTAAAAAGTGCACCTATAAAGCTATATTTTCCTTGTTTTACACATTAAAAATTGTGGCTAAGAAATACTTATTTGGTGTTGTCAGAGATAAATTTGTTAAATCCTTAATTTTGAGCCCTGAAAAGTCATGAAATAAAAACTTATTGTATTTTGACACAACCCATTTGCTCATGCACACTGAGCAAGGTAATACACACAAGAGCTTAAATGAATGATAAGGCATGTGGACATGAACAAAATATATTTTCCCAACAAGAAAAGTGTGGCTAGTGAAAATGGCAAGTGGCTATTAATGTTGGAAATCTAGCCACAGTGGCTGGTGGTCAAAAAAGTTAGTGTGTGTGTGTGTGTGTGTGTGTGTGTGTGTGTGTGTGTGTGTGTGTGTGTGTGTGTGTGTGTGTGTGTGTGTGTGTGTGTGTTTCTTTTTTTATAAGTCAATATTGTTGCTTTGTTTTGATTCAGTAAATCTGGCTGAGAACTAAAAACTAACCAACTCTAAGCTTTTAACCGGCTCAACCTTATTGTACATTATAATTTGTATTTTTTTAATGAGTACACTCTTGCCTTCTTCACAAAAAGCATGCAATTCTACCTTAGTATTTGGCTGAACCAAGGTTTATTTATTTTTTTAATGAAGATGTCTGGCTTTAAGAACAGTCTTGTCACCCGTGTTGCCTAAAATGTTACCAGCGTAGGTGGCTGGCTGGGTTTTTGGAACAGAGCTCCCGTCTCCCTCTCCTCGTCTCTCCATTTTCAGTTCTCCACAGTGTTTGCCCTTTTCTATCCATCACAGTCTGCTGTTTCAGAGCGGCTGGAGTGCTGTGTATGAGTTCTGTAGACTAAAGGAGGTCTCACAGAGCTCTACTGCTGCTTTGGAGGCTTATGTTGGTTTGAAGCACACAGAGAGACCAAACACTCCTTTCTCTAAACAACTAGCTCTGTTTCCCTCATCTTTCCCCACAAAACATCAGACTATAAATACTGGAGTGCTGAGCCTGTTAGCTGGGGACTGGTATTAGGTATCAGGCCTGAGTGTGTGTGAGTGAGTGTGTGCTTGACTCAATCTTTCCCTTTTTATAGAAAGCAGATGTATTATGGCTGGATCAAGGTTTCTGTTCAAAATGATGTATGAGAGGTTGCAGTATGTTTGTACACTGCCAGTCAAAAAGTTTTGTTGCAGTTATTTAATAATAATATGGCGCATCAAATTTGTCATACTACTTTTTATACTGTTTTGATATGCATTTGCATTTGCAATAACTCTTCTGTCTCCTCTTGCAGGAGATGTACTCAAAGGGCCTGATACCCCTTTCAGCAGTTAAACAAATCCGTGCTTTGGGTGAGAATAAGTTTGAGGTGGTCACTACTTTAAGAACCTTTGTGTTTCGGGCAGAGAAAGAAGGTAAGTTTCTTTACTTTTCTTACACGTTTCCATTCTCCTCTCCACTAATCTCTTTTAAACCAATTCACTCCCACTCTCACTCTTGATCTTTTATCTTTTTTTTCCAGTCATATTTTTATCGCCTTACCATCACTGCTACTGTATAAGATAAGATGCTTTGAGTAGATCTTCCACAGAAGAGAGAAAGAAAGAGTAAAAGAGAGAGAAAAGCCAGCCCGTCTCAGAGAGATCACAAAAAATTGCTACAAAGCTGAAACAACTGATAATGTGATATTAGTTTCATATTTAATACATACAGGAAACACCCTGATGGTTCATATTGTTGCCACACCATTGCATGTGCACTTTGCAAGATATTTTTTCTTAATATTCATTAGTAGGCTGCAATGAAGGTCGATTTAAAGACTGTGAAAAGGCCCAATTATGGTTTTAATGAAGAGGCTCGTACTGTTTATAGAGTGATCTGGTGCTTTAGTTATAATTTAGGATCAATTTAAAAATGTGCAAGTATTTGGTGTCTCTGAAGGTTAGTTTAAGTCATGATTTATTGGAAGATATTGTTTAATATAAAAAAGCTGTATTAGTAAAGAGCATCTTAGCATTTTGCTTTGTTTAGTTTAATTTGTGAAAACAAAGCATTATACAATGTTATGGTTCTTCTATAGGTAGATTTTGAAGTACTTTCTTTACTGTATCATTCAATATTTGTATGTGTTTTAGTTGTGAGAATATACTTCTATTAGATTAGTGTTGCAAAATATCTGAGACAGGGGTCACCAATTTCTGTCCTGGATTTTAGCTCCAACTTGCCTCAACACACCTGCCTGGGTGTTTAAAGTATATCTAGTAAGGCCTAGATTAGCTTGTTCAGGTGTATTTGATTAGGGTTGGAGCTAAAATCAGTCCTCCTGGAATAAGTTTGGTGACCCCTGATCTAAGACATTTCAACAAAAATCCTTAACAATTTAAGCTGCAGTGTTGAACTGATTATCCATGAAAATTCTTAGCATTGTCCAGTCATCTTCTGCATTTGTTTTGAATGACCAGCCTTTTCATGGGACTTTGGTTAGTAATAGTAGCATTGTAATGATGCAGTGTTTTAGAATTTTTGGGTACTTCCCTAGCCTTTTTCCCCTTTGCAAATAATCATTCCAAAGACATCTGTTTCTAACTCATTTTCCTAGCTTGTTGGTTAAATTTTGACACTTGTGTGACCAAGAAGTAACCAAGAGAATACGATCATTTTTCAAAATAAAAGATTATTTTAAAATACAAGATCCTTCAGACCAGGCCCAGATTGGCTAATTGGGAGGACCAGGATAATTCCTGGTGGGCCAGTCCGTTTTTTGGCCACGAGGGCCTGTGCCTCTAGATCCAGACTCTTTTTTTTCCATTTATTTATTTATTTAACCACAGCTTCACTCTTTTTATTCATTATTTTGCCAAAGCTCCGTTGTTTTTATCTATTTTCTCGCAGCCTCATGAACAAGATGCAGCCTGATGCCGGTTAATGATGATATAACTCAGATGAGTCACTACACTGAGAAAAGCGGTTGTGGTCAGCATGTTGCGTTACAACGCCGTCGATTCGGGTTCGAACCTCATCTGAGTAATTTATTATTATTTTTTTATTTTGATAGTTAAGACATAATACTGTTAGGGTTGTTGAACATTTGAAGTTCTAAAGCAGCTGTTTTCTTAAAAAAAAATGTAAAAGTGCCTTTAGAAACTGATTTGGCAATGACCTTAATTAAATATAGTCAGTCGTGAACTGAGGTGGGTCGGTCTGAGGCTTGAAACTCCAGGGCTGAAAAGGAGTCACACTCCGGCCCTGCTCTGACTCTGGTTGTAAATAAAACTAAAATAATTACGGATTTCTTGCACAGCCGGTACAAATTGATCCATGGACCGGTATGAGACAGGGTGTAGGCATGACAAGCAATGGTAGATACACAACAAACATTCATAAATGCTCTACTATATGCTAATAACAAGTGACTTTCATAAGTTGTTAATAATTAAAATGAAGTCTAAATACTATTATTGCATAACATTCATTCAACTTACTGGCCTCACTGGTCCCGTATCAGTCACTAATTCTCGCTGTGTTGACTTCAGCCTGAATTATTTCATGAACCCAGACAGACAAACATTTGCACTTCATATATTGACCTTATTCCTTGCGCATGCGTCAATACTGTAGATACATTTTGTAGTTGCCTTGGTTCTTCATTTAATGTTGACTTTAAACATTTTATGTACCAATTCCTCTAAAATGTTTGTTAACAAAGGAGTCAACAGCATACACAAACATAACTAGATAATCAGTAATGCCAATTAGTGACCAAACCATCAGCCAATGCACTCTTAAAACAGACGTGTTACCAACAACTCAACCTGTGTTATTCATAGTGTGTATGTGTATTCACATCTATATGGAAAATACATGAGCACTGGTCTTTGATCACCACTGTTCCTTCCCATTACTGAAGAAACAGCCAACTCTCTGAGATATTATTGTGTTAACTCGCTAAACATTTCAGAGTGTAGTAGGCAGCAGTCTGATTGGATGATAATTAACACACATTGTGTTGGACAGACTGTGTTGTTTTTTCGCTTCCTTCCTCTTTCTTTTTACACACAAGTAATAAAAAAAATAAACAAGCTGTTAAAATAGCCGTTACACACACAAACACAGAAATTAATTTTGAGAGTGTGGTAAGAAAACAGCGATGGCACTGTGAATGAGGCTTTATACTGCCAGTTAAATAGTATTTGTCAGATAATTACGGAAATTACTACTAGGTGCCAGGATTTTTTTCATGTAATAGCCTTGAAGCACATTTGGACTCTAAAACATTTAAAATGTAGAAAAGCCATTGCATATCACTTTTTGGTCCCTCTTAGAATTTTGTAATTGAAAATCTAAGTCAAAAGTCAAAATTTAAGTATGTCATGAATGTCCAGGCACATTCCCTGTCTGCCACAGCCACTGAATCTTAGCAGGGCTGAGCCTGGTCAGTACCTGGATGGGAGACCACATAGGAAAACTAGGTTGCTGTTGGAAGTGGTGTTAGAGAGTCCAGCAGGGGGTGCTCAACCTGTGGTCTGTGTGAGTCCTAATGCCTCAGTATAGTGAAGGGGACACTACTAGTGAAAACTAGTGAATAACGTCTTTCGGATGAGATGTTAAACCAAGGCCCTGACTCTTTGGTGACATTAAGAACCCCATGGTAAAGAGTAGGGGTGTTACCCCGGTGTCCTGTCCAAAAAATCCCTCCATTCCCTTACCCATTATGGCCTCCCAATTATCCCCATCCACTGAATTAACTGTATCAGTGTCTCTCCACTCCCTCCCACCCCTTCCCCCCGCACTGGTAATTGCACTGGCGCTGTTGTACTATGGCTGCTGTCGCATCATCTAAGTGGAGGCTTCACACTGGTGGTGGAGTGGGGAGACCCCTCTCTCATGATTGTGAAGCGCTTTGGGTGTATGGCCATACATGATACATGCGGCATGCGGCATTTCTCAAGGTCATTAAGATTGGTATGATTATTAGGCTTTTTCAAACACCTTCCTGTAAAAGGAATGGTGAACCTGTAAACCAATCAATTATCATGTTATTGACATGGCCTATGCTTTTCCCACTGCAATTACTGTTGTAAATCTGAGGCTAATATCACTGCTGTGTGCCACAGTGTCCCAGAATATCAGCAAATAATGGCCTCTCCAGTTCCTTCTTTCTCATCAGCGCTTGACCCCTGGCAATGAATTACTCTGAGGGAAGTCAGTTTAGGCATGCATTTAACTGTACTTTCCGCCATCAGAAGAATTTCAAGAAGAGAGAGAGGGCACTGGCCTGAACTGCTCATGAATCTTTAAACAGCTTTATAGCAGACTGAAAGAGTCATCAATCTTAAGATAAACACATAAGGGGAGGAGAGGAAGAATGAGTGAGTAAATGAAAGAGCTGGTGGTCATGGGACAAGAAAAAAGAAGATAAGAATGAGAATTAGCGTTCAAGATCGAACACACTAGGGAAAATTTTGATGAGTGAGTGAATGAACATTGCTGAGTGTGTATACTTTCTAAGGGCTTTTTTAGCTCTTCAGATCTGCTTTCACAGAGAGAAAGAGTCTGTTATATTTTGTAAATAGCAATGTTTTCACTGAGAAAGAGGAAGGGTGTCTTTTACAGCCAAGGTTTAGGTGTTTGCAGATAACCACAAAGAGCAGTTTAGAACTGTCTGAGTGGGTGGTAAAGGCATGGCCACTTTCAGTGATAGCTGAGGGTGGCAAAGTTAACAAGTGTGGAAAACTACTGTACTTTTGTTTAGTTCTCATTTTTTAAAAGAAGTGTAACGTATAGTCTAAAGGTAAATTTTCGTACTGATTCCTAAAACGGGTCTAGGTTACTTTCTGTGTGAGTTTATGACCCCTGGCTACAGCAAGTCTGGTGTGAGGATCGCTGGGTGACACCTTCATTTTAACCGGATAGATAGCCGTTCGGCTCAGTCTTCTCTTTTTGAGCTTTAGAGGAACACGGCAGATAAGAAAAGGGACATACATACATACATACATACATATTTATGTATGTATGTATGTATGTATGTATGTATGTATGTATGTATGTATGTATGTATGTATGTATGTATGTATGTATGTATGTATGTATGTATGTATGTATGTATGTATGTATGTATGTATGTATGTATGTATGTATATAGGGAGAGAGAAAAGAGGAGCGTTTTTTTTTTTTTTTTTTTCCGCAATGAGACCATTTTCTGTGATGTTCCCTCTTTGGTGACTTATTTGCTGTACCACACAGAAAGTAATAAATATTTTGGACCAAGTTACATGTGTCCTCTTTCAGTCACCTGCTGCAACGAAAACTAATATTATTTGGCCCTGGAGTAATAAGTGAATCTCCCCTGATATCTCTAACACAACATAGAGACAGAGCAGGAAAGGTATACACATGTAATATTTTTCCTGAGGTGATTTAAAACAAAATACACAATGACACTCAATCAAGCATATCTACAATGATAAGGAACGTGGTTACTTACTGGGTTATTAACGCACAGCAATGCCACGTGAAGAAAGGACAAACTTTGAAGGAATAAACAGTGTGAGGAGAGATCCATTATAGTGCATCGGGCAAAACTGAACATGTTCCGTCCAGGCGTGCGCGGCAGGCAGGTCTGTACAAATACGTTATTTATCGGCTTAAATATATCAGCATAATTATGACATCGGCTCGATAACAATAATCTTAAAAATAGCATTTATCAGCCGATAACAATATGGGCGCCGATATATTGTGGATACCTAATATATATATATATATATTATATTATATAATATATATATATATAAATAAATAAATAAATATATATATATATATATATATATATATATATATATATATATATATATATATATATATATATATATATATATATATATATATATATATATATATATATATATATATATATATATATATATATATATATATATATATATATATATATATATATATATATATGCATATTTATATGGATATTTATTTTTTATTAAAAGAAGCATAACCAAAAAAAACCAAAATATTCTTTGGGCTTTAGACATAAAATAGATCTTTACTTGCATATGAAGTAAAATGTGGTAATATATCTGATGCACCAAGACTTACATTGCATATGAAAACTTTTGCTGACTACAAGCACAATTTGAGTCTTGTCCAAAAGGCACTGTATGCTCACCTTTAATGAAATGAGTCTCTCTCTCTCTTTCTCTCTCTCTCTCTCTCTCTCTCTCTCTCTCTCTCTCTCTCTCTCTCTTCCTCTCACTCTCTCTCTCTTCCTCTCACTCTCTCTCCCTCTCTCTCAGTGGATGCGGCAGGTGCTGTAGATCTGCAGAGGATAAGACTATCCAGCTGTTAATGTTTTTTGGCTTGTATGTGTGTGTGCTTGCAATGAAGGTGTGCAAACCCCTGTAGCCCTATTTAAACACGGCACAAGAGAACCCTCTCCGGCTTCCTTCCCCCATCTCACACGCACAAACACAGGCGCAGACACAATGCAATGGGACACTGGGGCTTTTGCATACCTGCATTGTTTGCAGATTTGAAAGTTTATAAAGTAAAACAATAATATTATACACTTCTTCCTTCCCTTTTATTCCCATGGCACAGCGTCTCTCCTCACACACGCTCTCATACCTGCGTGTTCGCTAACATACATCAAACAGAATACAGGCCTGCACACTTCTTCAGCTTCTTACCTTCCTCTATCTTCTGCCTTTCCTCTAAGGAGATCGTCAGGATTGGCTTGAGGTTCTTCAGGCTGCAGTGAGCTCTCAGTCCTCCGTTTCCCATCAGCCTCGCAAAAATAACACAAACAAGAGTGGCTACGTGGAGCTGCGCGGCCTCAAAGGAAGAGTGTACCTGAGCCTCATGGGAACCTGCTTCAGACTGTGTAAAACAGACCAGGTAGATCTGTATAGCTGTACTTTTTGGGCTATTGTGTTGATTTGGATTCATACTGTTGCTCGCCTGCGTGAATTTAAAATGAATGCTAAAGATTCAAAACATTGTGCATGGTCTCCCAACCTGAGGGTTGCTTAATACAGTATCTGTCTGTCTGTCTGTTAGATGCCTGTCTTTTGGTCAGATGGCTTGTCTGTTTGATGGTCTATTTATCTTTCTGTCTGTGTATTGGATGGTCTGTCTGTTTCTCTGTCTGTTGGATGGTCTGTCTGTCTGTCTTTCAACCTGTTTGTTGGATGGTCTGTCTGTCTGTCGCCCTGTGTGTTGGATGGTCTGTCTGTCAGATGGTCTGATTGTTTGTTGGCTGGTCTGTCTGTCTGTTGGGTTGTCTGTCTGTCTGTTTGTTGGATGGTCTTACTTTATGATGCTCTGTCTGTCTTTTTGATGATCTGTTTGTCTGTCTTTTTGTTGGATGGTCTGTCTCTCTGTCTGTCTGTCTTTTGGAGGGTCTGTCTGTCGCTTGGATTTTCTGTTTTTTTTTGATGGTCTGTCTGTTTGTTGGATGGTATGTTCCTCTGTCTGTTAGTTTGTTTGACTGTCTGTCTCTCTGTCTGATGGTCTGTTTGTATGTTGGATGGTCTATCTGTCTTTTGAATGGTCTGTCTGCCGGTTTGTTTTATGGTCTGTCTGTCTGATGGTATGTCTATCTTTTTTATTGTCTGTCTGTCTATCTGTCTGTTAAATTGTCTGTCTGTCTGTCTGTCTGTTGGATAGTGTCTGTCTGTTAAATTGTCTGTCTGTTGGATGGTCTGTCTTTCTGATGATCTGTTTGTCTGTTGGATTGTCTGTCTGTTTGTTTGTTGGATAGTGTGTCTGTCTGATGGTATGTCTATCTTTTTTATTGTCTGTCTGTCTATCTGTCTGTTAAATTGTCTGTCTGTCTGTTTGTTGGATAGTGTCTGTCTGTTAAATTGTCTGTCTGTTGGATGGTCTGTCTTTCTGATGATCTGTTTGTCTGTTGGATTGTCTGTCTGTTTGTTTGTTGGATGGTCTGTCATTCTGGTGGTCTGATTGTTTTTTGGATGGTTTGTCTATCTATCTATCTATCTATCTATCTATCTATCTATCTATCTATCTATCTATCTATCTATCTATCTATCTATCTATCTATCTATCTATCTATCTATCTATCTATCTATCTATCTATCTATCTATCTATCTATCTATCTATCTATCTATCTATCTATCTATCTATCTATCTATCTATCTATCTATCTATCTATCTATCTATCTATCTATCTATGTCCGTCCGTCCGTCCGTCCGTCCGTCCGTCCGTCCGTCCGTCTGTCTGTTTGTTGGATGGTCTATTTTTTTTTTCAAAGTTCTGTCTATTTGTTGGATGGTCTGTCTGTTTGTTGGATGATCTGTCTTTCTCATGGTCTGTTTTTCTTTTGGATGATCCGACTGTCTGTTTTTTGTTAGATGGTCTGTCTGTCTGTTGGATTGTCTGTCTGTCTGTCTGTCTGGCTGTCTATATTTTGGATGATCTGTCTGTCAGTTGGATTTTCTGTTTTTCTGATGGTCTGTCTGTTTGTTGGATGGCCTTTGTGTTTGTTGCATTGTCTGTCTGTCTGTTGGTTGGATTTTCTGTTTTTCTGATGGTCTGTCTGTTTGTTGGATGGTCTGTCTGTTTGTTGTGTTATCTATGTGTCTTTTGGATTGTCTGTCTGTCTGTCCGTCTGTCTGTCTGTCCGTCCGTCTGTCTGTCCGTCTGTCTGTCTGTATGTCAGTTGGATTTTCTGCTTTTCTGATGGTCTGTCTGTTTGTTGGATGGTCTGTCTGTCTGATGGTCTGTCTGTTAGTTGGATGGATCGTCTGTCTATTGAATAGTTTTTCTCTCTGTCTCTGTGTTGGATGTTCTGTCTGTCTCTTTGTCTGTTGGATGGTCTGTCTGTCTGTCTGTGTCTGTTGAATTGTCTGTCTGTCTGTTGGATGGTTTGTCTTTCTTTGTTTGTGTGTTGGTTGTTCTGTCTCTGTTGGATGGTCTTTCTATAAGATGGTCTGAGTCTAATGGACATCTGTCTTTTGGTAGTATGGTATGTTTCTCTGTTTGTTGGATAGTCCATCTGTCTGTCTGCCTGTCTGTCTCTCTCCCTGTCTATTTTAGTCAGATGTTCTGCCTATCTGTCTGTCTGTCTGTCTGTCTGTCTGTCTGTCTGTCTGTCTGTCTGTCAATCGGTTTGTTGCATAATATGCATCATCATGTTTCTGTCTGTTGGTTGGATGATCTGTATTTTTCTACTGTCAATGTGCACAATGAAATTTGTCAAAACTGTTTAATTTATATTTAATATATTTTCAGTTTGGAATTTACTTCTTCCAAGCTCAATAAATTGAGCTAAATTTGAGGTATTGTTTCTCACCTTTAAATTGCCATAAAAAAGAGAGAGAGTGAGATTGAAGATACTGTATAAAACGGTGGTTTATTTATGTCTTATCTAGATATAGAATTTGTTTAACATACTTCAAGATCAAAACGGTAAAAAAGCAAAGCACTATTCATATTTTTAAGTGAGATTATAACTTTTTAAAATCCCTTCAAGAACATAATCTGTCCATCTTGTCTGTCTGCCTATTTCTCTTTGTAAATGATTGCTATATTGCACTGTTTCTTATTTCTTCTGGTTTGTTTGAGTATAGTTAGGCACTTTTTTTCCTCATGCCAGTAAAAAAAACTGAAGCTTTCACGCATTTAAAAGTGTATGTGAATGAGCCCATATGCTGAGAGTGTAGTTGTTACAATCCACACAAACCATGACACCTCACATGCATATGTGTGCGATCTATACCCAATTGGTCTCAGTTTTAAATGAGATTAAGCTGAGAATGTTATTTCATGTGAATAGGCGCCACACACACTCACACACACTTTATCATCTCTGTTTGTCTTTCATTATTTTCCTTATTAGCACGAGCAAACATCTTTGTCTTCATTCTGCAAGGAAATTGTTTTTTGTCAGCCGATTTAGCATGCGGGGAGGGAGAAAGAGAAAGAGAGCAGTGAAAATGGAAATTGATTGTATTGTTTTTGCATTAAATCTCTCTGTGGCAATCACTCCGACAAGTGGCGAGAGAAACAGGAGGGAGTGGAAAGGAAAGGAGGGCATTGGAGGAAAGAAGTAAAGGAGGAATGGAGGAGAAACTGGGCAGTCTGACAAAAAAATGAAGGGATAACAGAGGATGGTGAAGACAGCAATGGCTGTTGAGGGATGAAGAAAACACAAAGGTACATCAAGATGGAGGAAAAGTGAGAGAGGAAGTTGCGGTGGTGGGTAGTTTGGTTCATGTTCAGTGAAGTGGAGTATTTAATTTAACAAGATGAACGAGCTGCCCAGGACGCTGGTTTCCCCCCCCTCCTCCCATCTTGGAAAGGATGAAGTATGCTGCCCTTCTCTCCTTTGAGGTCAGGCCATGATTTTTCCCAAAGGTAATGAAAGTCAACCTAACAGGGAAGCCCACATCACCTGGCACTGCTACAGTTTAGTGCTACATTGATTTTTGATTTCCTTACTTAAACTGTTTGCTCCAAAACAACGAACACCAAAAAGAGCAAACATATGGGTACTGGAACGTCACTTCACAGGTCTCCGCTGGCTATGGTTCAAAGTCGAAAAAGGACAATTAGAAGATGTCAGAGGCGATTGTAGGATTTGAACTTTAAGAGGTCTGAGCTCTCATTGGATCGGTTGGTAAACAGTTTAAAAATAAAAAGTTTTTATTTTTTTTTATTTTTAATTTTTATTTTTACATTTAGCGGGAATGAAGGGCGAGATGTGGGTGAATGCAGGTTCACTACATTTAAAGGTGCAGTAGGTGATTGACATTTTTTGTTGTGCTGATTGAAAGTTTCTTCACTTTCCAATCAAGGTTATAATATATATTTCCTTAGATTTAGTTTTAATTTTGTTTTAACTTTTTGTTTTCAAATTCAGCTACTTTTAATTAGTTTTAGAGGCAGATTTACTAGTTTTTTTTAGTTTCTATATTTTAAAATTGCTTGGTTTTAGTTTAGGTTTTATTAATTTCAGTGTTCATTTTAGTTTTGTGTTTGTTGTTTTTGTGTAAATACAGATATTTGTTAGGTGTAAGAAAAAAAAAATCATCAGAATAAATATTGTATTAAATATTATAATAAAAAATCAACCAAAGATAGGCTACATTTTGTTTTTGATAATAGAACACTACCATCTACCACTACCATCTACTCTTCCTCTAACACATATAGCAGCCCACAAGATAGCAGCCTTAAGTTAAATATCTGTGCTGCTTCTCAGGTTAGATACATAGTAGTGATGGGAAGTTCAGATTTTTATTGTGAACCAGATCTTCAAAAGTTTGGGCTCGACATATCAAAAGTATGTAGTCAGCAATCATAATTTCAGTCAGTTAAAACATCACCATGATCTGAAAAGTTTCTTACAGTTACGTTTTGCAAACCAACTGAATCATGATTCACTTATTTAAATTCCATTACGACTTTCTATTATGTAATAAACTTATGGTTCGCCAGATCCTCTCATTTAAGCCCTCGATTTACCCTCACTGCAGTTGTCCAAGTTTTCAGTCACTGTCATGTACTGTTCGTTCGGTTCACTGAATCACGCATGCCCAGTATTATAAGTTCACTGCTTCTCAAATCTGATCTCTGTTACCTATCTAACTTATAAAAAGTGAGGCAAGTGGCTGCATCTGACGTTTTAGGTTGAGTCAACTTCCAGCCTTTTTTGAGTATTTTAAACACTGAAACATGGTTTAAAACAAAAGCAACAAAATTAAGTTGAGACAACTAATATTGCTAATAGGGCTGTCAAATGATAAAAAAAAATATGTGATTAATCTCTCTTTTTTGTAATTAATCATGATTAATCATGAAACGTAATTAATCACAACATGCCATATTTATTACTGAAGTAAAAACACAGTCATGTAAGTGCCATTTAAA